GTTCGATCCGCGCGGCCTACTATGTTTCTATATGCAAAACTTAAAAGGCATCCCTCGTAGAGGCATGGACACTTAGTGAAGCCTCCAGAGCAGGACAACAAGCTTTTGAAATTTACTAACAGCACAATAATGCAATGTTTGCAAAAGCAGCCAGGAATATACTAAATACCATTACAGAGAGGAAATTTACGTACTTTGGATACGTAATGAGAAACTATTACAAGGAAAGATCAAAGGGAATAGAAAACCAGGACTCCGCAGCATGTTCTGGCTTATGAACCTGAGCCAATGGATAGGTTTCACAACAACCGACCTAATCAGAACAGCACTTAATAAACAAAATGGACCAGGATAGTCACTAGTAGAGAATGATGTGTGAATTACCCCTCGGCTAAAATGTAACCCCTAATGTGAGGCTACTGGATCCGAATATAAACGCTCTTAACTCTCAACGGATTACAGGGCTGTTTTTGGTGGATACGCGCTGCTCCCGTTATGAATATTGTATGCGTTCCGAGTCTGAATTTTAAGATGGAACAATTGTCTGGAGAATGGTGGTGGTATTATTGGAGTTCGGGGTTGATAGCCTGAGAACGTTAGACTGGCGTATTATCTGTTGGGATACAACGAACGGTCCATTTGATAAATTGCTCCCTCTCCCCTCCACAAGATTTAGCTATGCTGAATAATATTTACATTTCATGCTGCCACTTATCAGCTATTCTAAATTCTGAAAATGGCTACGGTTGAATAAATGTATGAAACGAAAAAAGTCGAGAGATTAAAAGTGTGATCAAGAGGGCGTTTTTGCACCTTATATAGGGTGGCCGATATATAACTGACTGATTTGTATCTTGAATATTTGTGAAAATAAATAAAATACGCCCATTTTTTCATCTTAATCTTTTACTGAACCTTAGAAATAATATCAGACAAATGTCAGCCTCTAGAAGCCGCGCAAGCCTGAGCCCTATTGATTACATTTTCCATCACCTTTTGGTAGGTTTCGGGGGGAATATTTTAATTCGCTGTTATAGGGTGTGGGGTGAGTTTTACTACTTTACAATCGCCGTGATACCATCTTCTTAAAACCACATAACGTGTTTTTCGCATCAATATTGTTCAGTATTGGCAGAAAGGCGCTCTCAGACAATAATGGATTGAATAAGTATCTCCAACAGCCAGAAAAGTAATTTGCTTAATGCGTTATTCGACACATAATTCAATTCTGTTTACTTATGATTCAACACAAAAGTAACAACAGGAAAGATTGAGTTTTATAGTCAATTAAAACGTTTCGCGAACTTTAGGACACTCTTTATATCGCTAGGTCCCCGATATCACCTGATTGCCAGAGCTTAGATAAATGTTTTCATTTATTTTTCATTTGCTCCGAATATTCGGATTATTGAAAACACAATAAAACACCGAATACCAATATACGGTCTTTCATTCCCTATCGTAGGTCCCCTCTGCTACTGTCCGACTTGTTTTTTTCATCTCTACATAATAAACAGAATTGGGGTTAATTCAGAAACTTCTTCCTGCCTTGGAATCCTCATCATTTTGATTCAGAACGTCCCAAGTGAACCCGATCAGCCCTCGACATAAATATTAAACAAGTACACTCAGCAGCTTTGCGCCAAGCTATTCTATAATAACATTATAACTTTATACTCCTGGAAACTTTCCGTTACCTTCCTTTTTCTTTCTCTCTTTTCATCGCTATAGCGGTTTTAAAGGGGTTAGAGTCGGTTCACATTGGCGGATTTCATAACTGCAAATTGTTCCTAGGTTGTTTACAAGGCAATTGTTATGTAACGCGTAAAACGTATCCACCTCTATATAAAAGTAAACAATTGGCTTTTTAGTTCGTCTGTGAACTGTGATTCAGTTTGGTTGAGAATCCTTGAAGGAACGGTCAATCAATACTCTCCAACCTAACTAATGATCATAGGTTTTTTATAGTGATTTGTGATTGAATCTCAAATCGGAAAATGTTTTACTTCGTTATCTCAAGGCTAAACTGTTTCTTATATCATTTCCTCACAAGTCAAAAAACATGGTTCCCTTTATAGTTAAAGATAACTGATTTAAAAGCATTCCAAACTCGTAATTCAGTTTCATTTAGAGCACTGACAAATACATCATCCTTCATGATTTTCCGTATTTGTGGACCCACAAATATGCCCTCTTTAATTTTTGCCTCCGGAAGTCTCGGAAATGTTTGTTTTAAATGTAGAAACCCTCTTCCATTTCGATCCAGAGCTTCCACAAAATTTTTCATCAGTCCCAACTTAATATGGAAAGGCGGAAGCAACACGTTTTTGGGATCAACTAGTGGTTCATGAGCAATGTTTTTGATGCCCGGAGTTAATACCTGACGTAGTGGTCACACCTTCTGTTCATAATGACGATCTCGCGCACGACTGTCCCATTCTCAAAGAAAACAAAAATATTTGGTATATTCCTGTTGCATTCCAAGAAGAAGGGCTATGACCTCTAAATCTGCACATATGGCCCATCCATATTGATTATAACGGATATGCTCTAACAGAACTCGCATATTTTCATATGATTTCTTCATATGAACTGCGTGCGCTCTAGGTACAGATGGATATTTATTACCGTTGTGTACCAATACCACTTTTAAACTAAACTCAGAGAAATCAATGAATAGGTGCCAATCATTTGGATCATGTTTCTGTCCTAACGCGTCAAACAAATTGTTGACATCGGAGCAATATATCAACTCCCTTTCTTGACGGAAACAGTGTGTGAGGTCTTGTTGCCGTTTTCGGTAAAAAGTAATGTTAACATCACAGTGAAGAATATTCCATCCTTTTGATCTTGACGCTAAAAGTTCTGACTGGGATTTTGACAGATCTAATTCTCGAACTATGTCATTAAGTTCGCCCTGTGTGATCAAATGCGGTGCTGTTCAACATCCTGGCAGGTCAAATGAAGGATCGTAAATTTTTACGCTTCCTGTACCATCACTTTCAGAATCGGTGGATTCGACCTTCTCATGCAAAGACCAAGATTCTGGTGGAACTGGGACAGAAAGTTCATTACTATGCTTAACGGGCCCCAAGGCTGATGGTAAATTAAAATACTTAACTGTATGTTTCGATTTTGGTCCAATACCTTTAATATTTCTGAGGCAAAAATGGCAATCAGTAGTATGGTCTCTCGGTTCTCTCCAAACCATTGGTACCACAAAGGGCATTTTACGATTGTCGCCTCTTAACCAACCTGTTAACAACGTTACACAAGTCTTACAGGATATATGAGCGGCCGATAGTTTATCTCGGTCGCCAACTTTAATTCCAAAATAAAGTTCGTATGCTTTCAACACAAGTTGAGTAAAACTATGTTTATGGGATTAAAAAGTTAGCTCTCCGCGCACATAACAAAAACTGTTCGCACTATTTACACAATTTCTAGGCATTGTCCATAAAGCTAGTCTCGGTCACAATAAACTAAAAACAACACACTGTTTTAACAAAAATTAACACTACTCAGAACATCTCAGTACTCTTCAACACAGGAAACGTAACTGACTCGGCTGCTATTAGTCTACTAATAAACGCAATATGCTCTCTAAACATAGAGCTCGCATATAATAAACAGGAATAGACAGGTCTTAGCATTATATATGTGCGTCATCGCATAAACCCCGAGAAATGCAGCAATATGAGATTTTACGTATTGTAATTCATAGAAGTAGATGTTACCGAATATCTGTGGGTATACGAGGGTGACGTGTGTCGTACATTGAACAATGATCTCATGCTCGTTTGTCTCTTTGAAGGGCAGGATGTCCTTTTGCGAGCGAGAATACCCACACCAGCCGATCTTGGACTATGGTGGTTTTGCGCGGTACCATCTTTTGCCGTAACACCGTGTAGAGGAATGTGGAAATGAAAGAAAAAAGAAACGTCGAAAGTGTCACCTGAAAAGCAGATACACAAAATATATTTTCAGAATTGTTAATTGTACCTGAAAAACGCAACCACTGTGGCCAAAACGTCGTCACCAGTAAACATAAGCTTCCCCACCACTTAAAAATACAAGTTAAAATTAAAAAACGGAAATGGCTATGTTTTGTAAACAAACTTACAGAGGAAAGCTTCAATGAATACAAGAAACAGAGAGAAAAAGTGAAAACTATGGTGAGAGTCAGTAAAAAGAAAGTATGGAGTGATTTTGGATATAAACTTGAGCGACTTCGAAATAGACAAAACGCAGCATCTGACGCAACAGGGATAATGGATCGAGATGGAGTTCTGATTATGGAGGACAAAAAAAAATACTGGCTAGATGGAGAGAGTACTTTAATGATTTGTTGAACTCACAGAATGACATCGAAACAGATAATACCTCGGTATCTACGACACAGCAACTCACCGAAGATACAGAAGAAGAGGAGATAACAATAGACGCGGAAACAGAAGCATGGAAGAAACTTAAAAATGGAAAGGCACCTGGAATAGATAAAATAACAGGGGAAATGTTGAAAAAGATGAAACTGGAATTAGAATGCTACATTTTCTCTTCACGAAAACATATAGACAACAGACAATACCCGAGCAGTAGACAACAGGACTGATTTTACCACTTTTCAAGAAAGGAGGCAAGAAAGATTGTAATAATTACAGAGGAATAACGCTGCTGTCTACAGTACTCAAGGCCTACGAACACATAATAGAGAAAAAACTAAGAAAGTTAATAGAGACGACATTGTCTGAAACGCAAAGTGGCTTTAGAAAGGGAAGAGGCACTCAGGATCACATATTTACTATTAAAAACTTTTTAAGTAAATTTTTACCAAAGGGAAAACTAATGCACCTTGCCTTCATGGATATGGAGAAAGCTTTTGATAGAGTTCCACGAAAAAAGTTAAAAGAGATTTGCTGAGAAGAAATGTTTCTGTAAAATTAGTAGAAGTGATCATGAGTATATACCACAAGACTAACAACCGAGTAATATCCAGAAATATGATGTCCGAAAAATTCGCTACTACAGAGGGAGTACGTGAAGGCAGAGGACCTGGACCCCTATTGTTTATAGTATTTACGGATTATCTGATAAGACAAAGCAGGCAAAGAATAAAACCAATTCTTGTTGGATACAGGAAGTTGCAAAAGGTGGAATTAGCAGAGTGCGCATTTGCAGATGATTTGGTGTAGGTAACTGGTAGTGTTGGGAGTCTACAGGAGAACTTGAACATTTTGAATAAAGTACTTGAAGATAATGGTATGAAACTAAATAAACTTAAAACTAAAGTTATGGCTATGACAAATTAAAAACTCAATATGGACGTAGATAATGTAAAATTACATGTGCACTCCTTTAAATATATGGGATCTATATTGGAACCTAACGGCAGAAATGAAATAGAAATTTCTGCAAGGATAGGAAAGGTAAACAACTTGTACTATGCGATGAGTGAAGGTTTTATCAATAAAAAAGATGTCGACGAAAACAAAAATGACAGTGTATAATACAATATATAGACTTATATTGACATATGGATGCGAATCCTGGGTTCTATTGCAACAACAAAAAAGTTCACTTCAGGCAGTTGAAATGAAATACTTGAGACGAGTTAAAGGGGTAACCAAAATGGACAAAATAAGAAAAGAGACTATAAGAACGGAGCTGGAAACAGAATCCATACTAGAACACATAGAAACGAAGCAGCTGAGATGGTGGGGACATTTGCAAAGAATGGGTGATAACATACCGGTGAAACAAATTTGGGAGAGTAAGGTGCCAAGAAAAAGAAGAAGGGGCAGGCCACAACGAACATGGGAGAATACCATAGAACAGATATTGATGAAAAGAGGAACGGACTGCAGAGAAGCTAAGAAACTTGCTTTAAACAAAAAAGAATGGATTAAATTCATGTTCAAATAATAGTAGGTTTTGTAACGTTTTGTTTAACCTTTAGGGTAAATGGGATTTTGATTATATATACATATATAAGCTTCCCACTACGGATTTATCGGAAACCACTGAATATAAGAAAAAACGCTGAGACATATCAAAAGATTTGTCAAGGGGGACAACTTTTTAACTAAAAACTACTTTACCTCCTTTCACCCTCGGCCCTCCAGAGTCATTCCCGTAAAATTTTAATAGTAATAGCTTGTTTAAAAGGTCTGTCGAAGTCCTTTATTTTGACATTTGATTTTTCTAAATCAGTCGATTCGTTTTCGAGAAAATTAGAAAAATCTTTATTTATATCAATTTTTTTCAGAAAACAAAAACACACGAAAATATCACTTTTTATTTATATACAGATATTCTGAGCGAACTGTATTTATTGTTATACATGTTAAGTTATTTGCTGCTAAGAGAAAGAAATAATTTGATTTTCTGTCGATACTCCTTGTCATTTAAAAATCTTAAGGGAATGACCCTGGGTGGCAGAGGGTGAAAAGGGGTGAAGTAGTTTTTGGTGAAAAATTTTCCCCCTTGAAAAATTCTTTAACGTGTCTCGTCTTTTAGTCAGCGGATTTCGATAAATCCGTGGTGGGAAGTTTTCAAATGAACACCCTGTATGTGATTTCATTTAACAGCCATACAAAAATGGAGTATTATCAAGGTTGTGTAACATGGGCGCCCGAAGAGCCCTGGTGATCCCTTGGGAATTCGGTTGGATCTTGAATAAAATTATGCGACTTTTGAGATTTGATGCCGGTGATAGACCCTTCGGGCGTTAATGTTGAGTAACCCAAATAAACACTGTGGAGAAAGGAATATTTTACGTCTATACGTCTTTACGTCATAAATGGCCTGGAAATTCTTGGTTTTTGCTGGTAGAGCCACCCAAAAATGCCAAAAAGTAATGTGAATTTGCAGCACTTGAAATAAAAGTAAGCACAAAAACTAAAGTAGAAACTGCAAAGGAAGACTTCATTTCAGTAAAAGTTTATGATTTTAAACACTAAATGACCAGATTTGCGGAAATAAACTACTACTAAAGCAATTTTCTAATTTCGCTCATCTGAAATGATATTTTCACTATTAAATTCAAATGGAAGGATATATCTATTTTTTTAATAGAGATATGGAATGCATTCAATGTTATTCATTTTTCACAATTTGCAGGCTTCAATAAATGAAATATTTATATCGGGGATTCCGATGGCTTTTACTGAATTTAATATGAGTTGAAACGGGGTGCTTGGCAAAGTAAAAAACTGGAATCAAAGCATTTAGTTCATTTAGAGCTATGGACCTTCGTCAATTTGGTTTGGTTTCAGAAGAAACAAAGAAGATAGCATTCTCAGACTCCCTATACATACAATATTCTATTCTCTACGTAAAATACGTTGCAGTTCCAAGGACCAAAATTAACAATCTAGTTTGACTGACCTGATACAAACCTATAAAGAGACAAAATATGTTTTTGGAGCTAACCTCAATGGACATGACTTGTAAAAAATATATCGTTTTTCGAATTATCTCTCTCAAGTACTGACAATGTAAATTTCAATGAAATATTCAGTAATCGGTGTAATATCAAACTATGGTATTAAGCGTGATTCATGTTTCGATGAGGCAGCAAATCCCTCTTTTTGATTAACTAAATTTACGACTATATCGAAAATACTTTTTGATTTTGCGAATTTGCGTCCGGACGAAAATTTTGTGTATGAGGCCAAATGAAAAAATAGGTTTTTCTAGCTAGGTGATGTATTAAGTATTTCTTGATTTAATATGAGAATTAAGTGCCAGTCTTACACAAATGGTATAACTTTTGCTTAGTTTAAGAGACATTTTACAAGAAGTCGACCACATTTATTAAATCCATTACTTCAAAAACGCCTTTTCATTGGACGGATTTGTGTCATAGGCGCAAAAGATTAAGGCCTGTAACCTTAAAAATAACTCAAATTTCAAGTTGACCGCAATTATGAAATGTTTGCTTTTAAATACATCTTTAAGGGTGGATTTTACCTGGATTGTCAAATCAACAGCCTGTTATTCTCCACCTATAGGGTAACAGTCCGTCAAATACAGCGAATGAGCTTCAAGTTCCAATCAACAAATTTTAGAAATCAAAAGCTATGAAATGTTGAAAACAAAACTCTGTCAAAGTATGATATGACAGCTTGTCATTGAAACATCACCAGCTTATTGAATATTAAGAAATTACATATACTATTTACCGATTCCGTTTTTTTTGCCGGTGCGGCAACATTGCAGATGTGCAGATCACTTTAAAAGCAATTGATATCCCAGGCGTGTTATAATAATAGAAATAACAAGAAAATATAACAATGTTTGGAGATATATTTTCATAAATAGGTATTTTTGATTCTGACTTAATAATATCTAGACGATGAATAATAGGTGGATGCAGATACTTTTACAAATATCGATGATTTAGGGCCCAGAAATGCAGAATGGGCTGTTTGTTTACATTTGGTGTGGATTTCTAGATCATAAATTGGCAAAAATTGTTTTTGATGTAACAAAAGATGATGAACCAGTTGGAATACGTTTTATATCATTTTTTTTGCAAAATAACATAAATCGGTACATTTCTACAGGTACGTATTATGTGCAACACCCTGTACGTGATATACAGACAAAACTAGATTGCCATGCATGAACAGTCGTCTCTCATTTTCACTGGTCCATTTAAATAACTGACCGTCTTTTCTGAAATGATAAAAATTTGAAATTCTATGAAATTTATCCTAATTCTAAAGCAAAAAACATAATATTACATCTATAATGTACCCTTATTTATAAGGCAACCGTTTTTTCACGACTTTATTCAACATTTCAATAGAAATCACTGATATTCAGAGAGCTTTGACAGCTTCCGTCAAATTGCACTTCGATAAGGTCTTTTCCTATTGGTCCAACTAACCGTCAAATATTAATGTTAGTGAAATTGGCCCTAAATCTATTCTTCTGAATCACAAATATCAAAAAGATAATGAGAAATTCTAATAGTAAAATGGGGTCGTTCTAGAACAGCTAAGTCTATTGATCCATTTTGGAAGTAAAAGATGAGGGATGAAAGAAGGCAAGAAGCAGAATAAGAAAGGTTCAGTAATATTTTTAATAAATATATTCCAAATTATAGCCCAACAACATTGTTTCATGCACAATACCTGACAGTGTTAATGTTGGTGAAATTGGCCCTTAGAACACAAGTATTTCAAACTATCACCGACATTTTCCTTTCTAGTTTAGTATTTGATCGAACATGCATTATTGCACAGATGAGTCCTACGAAGGACGAAACAACTATACGAACGATAGTATAGATCGAATAAAGCATCGCACTGTATGCTTCTCATACCGAAACCGCAGCCCAGATCTTCCTGATATGTTCTTGTTTCCAGCAAAAGGCTAATTTGAAATATGGCCGTGGCGTCTCGGACCGTATTTATCCCATCGTGCGCACAAAATCGCAAGGGATGGAGCAAAAGCACGGAGCGCTGCATGCCCTCCCAACCTACTTGCGGGATATACGCGCATAAATATTCTCGATTTAAAAATGCAAAATATGGCTTTGGGGATGGAATTTTAGATAAGCTTCTCGCAGCTCACCGCACAGCACCACCTCGTCTGCCTGTCCGCGTATTATTTTTAAATTAAGCAAGGTCGCATAGTTTCACAATTTTTCACTGAGGCGAAAGTTGTTTGATCAATATTTACTGTGATTATTCAGTATTTATCATGGAATGTCATAATTGTAAACCGTGCAGCCTGTACGTCGGTAATTGTTGATGTATAAGGTTATACAGGGTGTTCCTTAATGATACGCGAATATTTAAGGGTGTGAATCTACATGAAAAATTAATGTTAGTTTGCTTTATAAACTATGGTCCAAAAATGTTTCCTTACAAAAACTCGGGATGTTGAAGTTTTAGGGAAAAAATGGAAATTAATTAATATTTTCAGAACCGCTGCAGATATTTCATTGATATTTAGTACGTAGTGAAAGTTAATAAAGTTGCATATTTTTCAATGCAAAAATAATTTTTAGCTTTAACATTGGCGTGCCTACGGGTATTGACTTCGATATTTTTTAAGAAAAAAACGGTACGCCAATGCCAAATAAAAATTATTTTTGAATTCACCGTTCAATTTATAACAAATAATCTCTCTTTTTCCTTAGATGCGCCATTTTTGAGTAAAAAAATAAAAACCATTCTATTGTCCGAGAAAATTAATGTAATAATTGAAGAATGCAATTTAGCAATAAATATCTAGTTGCTCTGGAATATGTCGCTGGCTTCTGACATCTGACAAGTCTCTCTTATTCAAATCTGTTCGCTGTGACATCTTTTTCATTATTTAGTTTTTACAATCTTGTTAATAATGGAAAATTATTCAAATGCATAAATGGCGGAAATGCATTACGTATATGGCGTTGTCGATGGTAATGGTGAGCAAGCCAGACGGCTCCAAGGCGTGTGACCTTTTGTCAGTGGTATCTTCAAAAAATTACACAAAATCCGCAATTTGAATCAATGATTCTGTTCACGGTCGAAGCTAATTTTTCTCGAAATGCCATTCAGAATTTCCACAATAATCATTTGTGGGCAGAAGAAAATCTCTATGCCGTAACCGAAACCCATTTTCAACACCAATTTTCGGTTAACGTATGGGCAGGAATTATTGGCAACCACTTTATCGGCCCATTCTTCTTGCCGGGACGACTTGACGGGCAGACTTACCTCAATTTTCTTCAACAACAGTTGTCTTTGCTGCTTGATGATGTTCCGTTAGTAATAAGAAACAATAGCGATTCGTAATTACTTACAAACTGTTTATCTAAATCGTTGGCAGCGCTGGGCCCCAAGAATGGCCATCAAGGTCCCCAGACCTTAAGACACTAGTGTACACAAGTCCCATTAAAACTGTAGAGGAATTAAGAGAAAGAA